TACTAGGGAACTATAGTTTATAATTTAGGAAGGTAATTATCTCTTTTGACCATACCACAAATATATACTTCCTCCGTTCTATTAATATTGCAACAATGAACTTTTTGCACTATTCATCACTCTTGTTTGACCATATAATATGAGTTATACGTTAAGCAAAATATAGTCAAATGGGATCTTGTTGGATCCGTCTCATATAATACTTTCACAATATCAACTTTTCATAATTTTTACTCTTACACAATTATAGGTATTTTGCATATAAAATGTGTTTTGGGATGCGTAATTTCCTCCTTGTTGCAATATTAATAGAACGGAGGAAATACTATATTTAATTCTTAAATTTGAGGATGATGCTCCTTTCTTTTGCTGGCCTTGACCGACTTGGTCTCCCTACACAAAATACTTTGATCAACAATAATAAGGTTGTCTAAATTGCATTTAAGGTGATTTGAAATCGGGTCAGGAACAATTTGTGTTGAATTTAGGTCGGGTCAATAACAAGTCGTGTTGATTTCGAGTCGGGTTAGTAACAGATCGGGTTTTATGGTCGGGTTAGTAATAGGTCTGGTAAAATTTGAGTCGGGTCAATAACAAGTCGAGTTGAATTTGGGTCAGGTTAATAACAAGTCGGGTTGATTTCGGGTCGGGTTTGTAACAGGTTGGGTTAGGAACGGGTCGGGTTGAATTCAGGTCAGGTTAGTAACAAGTCGAGTTAAATTCGGGTATTGACGGGTTAAAATGGTTTGGGTCGATTTCGGTTCAAGTCACGTTTGGTTTAGGTCAATAATTTACGGGTTACATTCGGGTCGGGTCATCTCCTCAGTTCATGTTTGGGTTCGGGTCTCACATACTCGGGTCAACTCGGATCTAGGGTTGGTTTTAGGTCGGGTCAGGTCGGGTTTGGGTCACCATTTTTTTAGGTTCAGGTGGTTTGGTTAATAATCGGGTTTGAGTCGGTATTTCGGGTCGGGTCAACTTTTGACAGCTCTACTTTTATTTGCCTGAATGGCTGAATTGTAGTGGGATTTTGAAGTTTTTGGTAGTGCTAGTGCATTGTGCAAGTGTAGCTGTGTATCTCCCCAATTTGCAATTCTGTTGTTTTGTGGTTTTTGTAAGGTTTTGCGTGATTTCTGATTTTGAGAGTTTATTATGAGAATTTTTTTAGGAGATGATTCATGTTATCTTATGGGAAGTGGATGTTATAGTTGAAGTTCGTTTTCTTGGTTATACCTTCACTATTTTCTTTATTGGCTTGACTGAAGTGCAATCAGCCAATTACAATAGAATATGACTGGTGTTATAAAGTTATGAATTTGATAGGTTTCATGTGGTTGACTGCACTCTAGTAGTCCATCTAGGGAGCTAGTATCCGCTGCTATGCCATGCAATGACTGCATTGAACTGAAATGATTAGTTCAAGCTGTAACAGCTGCAATCCATCTGCATTATTCCAGGTTGTCACTTTGATTATTCAACTCATTGCCATCAATTAGTTTGTCACTGTCTTTCCATTTTTTAGCTTATGATGTACCAAACTGAGGGTATTGAATCGTAAAGATCCAACCTGACTATATTATCTTTTTTTGGCTTGTTCTTTTTGATTGGCTTATTCTTTTTGATATCTTGCTCTCTTTGTGGCCTTGTAGTAGTTAGCAGTTGTAGAACATAGAAATCATTGGTAGTGTTCATCATTCCTGAATTAGTTGTGGCTTGGTTATCAGGTGGTGCATCTAAACAAAAGGAAGTGGATTGAGGAGACAACATATCCTCGCTTCACTATGATTGGTCAGAGTCTTGGTTCAGTCTACCTCTCTTGGGAAGCTCTGTGCAAGTTCACACCTATGTATTATTTTGATACCAGTGGTTATGCTTTTACATATCCACTGGCTAGGATTTTTGGCTGCAAAGTTTTCAGCTATACTCATTATCCAACCATCAGTTCAGATATGATCTCTCGGGTTCGTGCAAGGAGTGCTTTGTATAACAATAAGGACTTAATTGCCAAAAGGTTGGATTTCCTGCATTTGATTTGTATTTTCAGTCTCAATAAAGATTTGCCAAAGGAAACAGCGCATGGAAGACTTGGTTTTTTGAGATCCTTTATGTTTGCGATTGATCATTTTTACTAGAATCTCCATTGTAGGATGCTTGTTTGCTGCTCTTCATAAAGATTGCATAATTTTGAAATCTAGTTATTTGCTGGTAAAAAAGGAGGTTCCATATGATGGCATTTCTGAAACTCCTCTAGAGTTATGTTAATATCCTCAATTGTTCGTTCTGTGGCAGTGTTTGGCTATCACGGTGCAAGATAATTTACTATTCAATCTTCAGCTGGTTGTATGGCTTTGTTGGCTCATATGCTCACACAGTCATGGTGAATTCATCCTGGACTCAATCACATATTGTGAAACTTTGGAGAATTCCTGAGCTTACTAAGAGGGTCTATCCACCTTGTGATACTTCGGGCCTGCAGGTAACTGAAATGAAATTTTCTAGTCACAGTGCCCGTTATTCTTTGATGATGTATCTAACAACAAGTTAACTCTTCTTAAGTTGCTTGAGTAGGCGAATAGCAGAAGGCAAACAGTATAATCTGGTCTTATCAATTAAATAATGAAAAACAATACCATTATTACTTTTACTTTTAGATTTGACTAGCTGACAATCTGGCATCATATTAATTCAATATTTTTTGCTGGCTAGCTGATTTACCTATTACCTTTCATGTTTTTTTAGTATCTTTGATTTCATCTTGTTCTTACATCAATCTTTAACTCAACCAGGCTCTGCCTTTGGAAAGACCCACAGATGTGCCAACTATAATATCAGTGGCTCAATTTCGTCCTGAGAAGGTGGGCATTTCTATGTGTAATTCTGACGCAAGGTATTGTAGTTGTGGTTGACATCTTCAGGCCTTTGATGCCCACTAAAGCTCTTATTAAGATTATTTCTGTGCTTGTCATAGGCACATCCTCTTCAACTCCAGGCATTTGCAAAAGCCATTAGTAAGTTGGATGCAGGCTTGCCTAAGCCTAAGCTCCAGCTCGTGGGTAGTTGTCGCAATGAGGCAGATGAAGATAGACTACAAAAGCTGAAAGAGATGGCTGTTAAGCTGAAGGTGGAAAATGATGTGGAATTCCATGAAAATATCCTATACAAGTATGCAATTTAAGTAACTTTGTCAAAATGTCAGCGTTCTTATTTAAGTAACTTTGTCAAAATGTCCTATACAAGTTCATGACAGTTATAAGAAGAACAAAAAATTTAATTATCCTCTGATTAACTTTCACCCAAAATCTCAAAAGCACCCAGTTATCTTTCTCCCCCTGGCTCCTAAATTTATACCTGTTATATGCTCCATTTGAGCTCTTATTGATGCTGGATCGTTTTAGCTAACTCATGCTATACATGATGTGACATGACACTGACATCACAAGTGATGAATGATTGCTAGTTAGCTTATGTCTGACTGAATGTGCAGGGATTTAGTCAAGCTTTTGGGAGCTGCCATTGCAGGGATCCATACCATGACAGATGAGCATTTTGGCATAAGCGTTGTGGAATTTATGGCTGCCGGTGCAGTTCCAATTGGTAAGCAATATAAGGAACAATAGCTTTATTTAATTTTGCAAGTGCGATAAAACACCTAATGCATACTTGCTGTTGAATTACTTCATCTACCCAGCCCACAATTCAGCTGGTCCAAAGATGGACATTGTGTTGGAAGAAGATGGACATAAAACAGGATTTCTTGCACAATCTGAGGATGAGTATGCAGAAGCTATTTTGGAAGTTTTGTTAATGCCAGAGACAAAAAGACTTGAGATGGCTGCCGCTGCAAGGAAGCGAGCAGGCAGGTTTTCAGAGCAGAGGTTTTACGAGGATTTCAAGGCCTCAGTTCGACCAGTTTTATGCCAAACTTCCTGAGTAAACAAAATTAGTGAACCACACATTTGAGTTTTTGTTTCTTCTTACCATACACTGATTCAGATAGAGGAGTAAGCACTTCATAGTTGGTAAAATTAGTCTAATCTTGAGTTACATAGGGGACAGCAGATTTGTCTTACAGAATATGTTTTTAAATCTCATTACCAAGTGTTAGCAGTTTTTGATTTGGTTACATGTCTAGTTTTTATGGTTGAACGCTTTACATGAATTGGCACAGCCATGAACCAAGAGTATTGATCACGATTACTGCGTTATTGTGAGTGTGGCTTCATTGTTTTCAAAAGGGGAAAAAAATGATAAAAGAAAGAAGCTCAACTCAGAAACTTGAGTTTGGGTCACTTCAGCATGTGGGTCATTTGACTAATTTCATTCTACTAGAACATTGGGAGAGGATGAGATAAAAAAATAGAATAAAATAAAAATCACATGCTTCCTTCTTTATAAATATCTTTAGGGCTTGTTCATATTTACTGAATTAAAGCTAAACTGAACTTAATTGATTGAAGCTAAAATGAACTAAACTGATTGGAGCTGAACTGAGCTGGGCTGAAATGAATATTTTATGAGAGAGGGAAATTAGGAGCTGAACTGAACTGATTAGAGCTGAACTGAAATTAAGAAAATATGAACAGACCCTTAATTTGCACTTCGAAAATTTATGTTGCTAGCGTTTAATCACTGATATACTACGTATTTAACTATTTCTAAATTGAAAATTTAAAAAAGTTATATCAAGATGAATTTAACAAAATTTAAGATGAATTTAACCGCTGTAAAAAAAAGGTATGTAATGTTTGTACAAATAGGTCAAAATGACCCAATAACATTTGACTATACGTATCTTCCGTTTAAAATTAATTGTTCTTTTATTCTATACTCCGTAGTAACAATTACGGAGTATTATTGTCAAAGTTTTTGAACTTTGACTATGAAAAATAAAAATATGGAGCAAGTAATTTGAGACGGAAATAATACTAATACAAAAGAGAAAAAAAAAAAAAAAAAAAGTGATAATCACGCGCAATAGAAGTCGAGTAGTGGGAAGTGAGTGAAAAAAAAAAAGAATTTGATTCTATCAATAAGCTGAGAGAAGTTTGGTGCCACAAACACCATCACTACTCACTAGCTTCGAGAGCTCTTATGGTTCATCTTCAACCTCCGTCCACCTCCTAATCATGGCGGTTTCACTCAATTCCGTCGTCTCCTTTAACTCTGTAAGTTTTCTCTTTTCTGAAAACTTTTTTGAGTAATTTGTTCTTTGATTAATAATCTTGAAGAAAGGTTTCATTTTTATGTATAAATCTCATTCTTTTGGTAGTTTGGTAAATTGTTGTATAAATTTTGCGTATGTCTGGATATCTAATGTAGCTTTGTTTCAAATTATGGTTTATTGAGATTTTGAACTATTAGTAAATGCATAAAAAAAATTATGTGATGAGAATTCTTACATTTCCTTACCCTTAATTTTTGTATGTTGTTGGATAAGGTATAGTGTTATGAGTCCTAATTGGATTGATAGACCTTAAATAAAAAACAATAAAAGGTTAATGATAATTGATAGATTTATAATCTAATTAAGCTATTGCAAATTTGATTTACTTTCCAAGCATGATAGTGAAAATTATATAATGTGCATCAAGGGATGTTCTTAACTTGTGTATTCGAAGAACAGAACATCGTTTATGGATTGGTGTCACATTAGTAGGGAGTGTGTGCTCTAGGATGCCATGTACCTAATAGGAGCCATTACTTGTGGTTGAAATAAGTGAATTCTTCTAGGGTTGAAGGTTGATCCATCGGTCCATCCGTTTTTTTTTGCTGGTCATTGGTTTGTTTCATTGCCCTTTTGTGATGAAGATATACTTCTTCAAGCTTTAAGTGCAGCTAATAGAATTATAGAATTGGAATCTAGATAAAACCTGAAATTCTTTTTCATAGACTTCTATCATGAAGCATGTCAATTTATTGCGCCGTTTCAACTGGCCATGGATTGATGATTATCTGAGCCTGGATTATTGGTTAGTTTTTGTGGAACTTACTGATGGCTGGCTGGTCATCATTTCAAGAGTTCCAAACATTAGGTGGCTTTTATGATGTATTCTCTCCTAGATTGCTTAAGATTTGTGTGTGGATTTGCTTAGTGAACTGTCCTCATTCTATGATATTGCATCCTTCTACCTTCGGCTTTCCATATTAAAGGCTTATATCAAAGTATGATGACAGACACAGACACTCTTTATGATCCCTTGAGATTTTACTTTAGACATTAACATTATGTGATAGTCTCTAGTCACACTTTTTTGTAGTCACAATCACAACAATCACACTACTGATATTAGTTCGATTTCAACCCTGAAACTAAGCTATAAAGAATCATATATCTTGTAATTGCTATTGTCTTTAATTTCCCTCTATTGGATGCACTAGTTTCAACTGCTCAAAGACTCCCTACACTTTGTGTGACTGTGTGGTCTCACTGTCTGTTTCAGGACTTTTGTCTTCAGGATATATGTTTACTCTACTGTCAAAGTGAGTTTATCCGTAGTTCCCTGTACCAATTGTCCTACAAAGATCTTTAGTGGCAAATTCCAAATATATTATTATCCTGCTTCTTCATCAAAGTTGATTTATGACCTTCTGAGCCTCGACTTTAATTTTCAATGAGACTAAAGTTCCTTGATTTGATTTATGAACTTGGTGATGTGAAATAAAATCTACACGGTCTGAGCTTCAGCAAAAAGCCAAAAACTTCCATGCATTTATTTTATGCATTGTTTTGCAAATTCATGTTCTATGTTTATGTTGGTCACATTGCATAAGAGGTAAATCTCAGAAACACAGAACACTTCATGTCCTTAGTTGCAATTTAGTATTGCTAAACTTTAGCATAACAGGAAGAGAGATCAACACTTTAGGTTATAGGATGTTATCAGATGAATGCGTCAATTGCATGTTCTGGTAATCCTGTCTATATAGTTGTGGGAGTAGACTTTAAAAAATTAACCACCTTATCTGATGGCCTGCGAAACTTTTGGATGTAGTTTTAATTATGATAATTTCTGATGTCCTTTTCACAATCAACTATGCAGGTCTCTGGATCCTCCATTAGATATCCTGTTCCGAAAATTGGCCATGTTTCAGCTCCCTTTTCCCTTATCAAATCAAGGCAAACCATTAGTTTAAACAGAAGGCACCTACATCTATCAGTTGCAGAGAGTGACCGTATAGTTACAGATCGCGGTGAGAGTTCAAATCCTGAAGATTCTTCTCCTAATCCTGCTCAATCAGAAATAAGTGTTGCGGATGACTCAAAACAGGAAAACAAGATACCCTCATCTGCTGATGTGCAATCAATACAGAAGAAAGCACCACTAACTGCAAGAGAAAGACTGAGGGCGGCAAGGGTTCTGAGCCGTTATTCAGATTCCAAGCCTGCTAAATCAGAAATTGGGCGCAGTGTATTGGATGCTTTGAGAGAGAGTGAGAAAGGAAAGAAGGGTCTTCCACAAGCCCCTACTAACCTGTTTGATGACAGTAAGCGGGGAATGCCTAAGGCAGGCCTGACGTTCGACTTCCCTGGAGGTCTCGATTTGTTTCTGATTGCCTTCTCTTTTATTTTTATCAGCTCAGTTATGTTTGCAACCACATACATTGTTTGGAAAGTCGGCGCTATACATTACAATGAATTCTGATACACTATAACCGCCATCAAGGAGTATTACTTCGGTAATCTTTTATTGTATACTGGGAATGCAGAAATCATAGTTAAATGAGGCTCTTTACTACTGTATTTAGGTACTGAATACATACAGATGTATATGATTCTACAATGCTTTAAGTAGAACTCGAAACCAACTAGTACTTCTCGCTTGCTAGGCTTCATTTGCACCTATCAATCAGATTGGCTAACAACTGATTCAAATAGACTAAGCCAAAAATTGCTAGGTTGAGGAAGAGAGAATTAACATATTATGTGTAAGATAGATTATCCAGAAGAGAGATGCTCAACTTCCTTAAAATATCGATGGCATGGGATCACTAGGTCCGAGAGTAACATCATCTATCCTCATCAAATTACTATTTAATTGACGATCAAGCATGGATATCAACTAACTTAAGTGTTTACTCCATATATAAAGTCTTAAAAGACGATACCCCATATCTAATAATTAAATTATGTGGTGCCATTTTATATTAATTCACAAAATAAAAATTGAGTGGATGAACCAATCAAGTGTTTGTTGAATGGTACAGGAACACATTCTTGCAATAATCTTATGATACAATGATATCCCTATTTCCTCTATTATTCAGTAGCTCCTTTTTACTCCCTGAGGCCAACTAATTTAGCACCATATTACTGTATAAAAATGAGCAATCAAGGACCTGCTCTCTGCCGACAATATGGACTTTAAATTTTCTACAAGTGTCCTTTCAATTATGATAAAAGAAATTGTCAGAACAAATACATAATTATTTGGCCTAAGCTAGCTAGTCTAACAGAGATTGAGCACTAAAGAGCAAGAGGGCTTTATAACTTGTCTATTTCACCTCTTCATTTGCCTCTATGACCCATCATTTTTCATCACCAATTAAGACCATTTAATTGTGCTAAAATTTATTGATACCTTGGGCCTTTGGCTCAAAAAAAAAAAATAAAAAAAATAAATAATAAATGTTGTTTGGTTTTGGAATACAAAAAAGTTTGCAAGTTTAACTTTAACCTTCATGTTAGATAAAAGTTTTCTTAAAAAATATTCATGAACATGATACAATGCAGATGACATATATACAAGCACGTCAAACACAATTTAATACCCAACTTTTTTAATTTCTGATGTTAGATGAACTAGCATTTTAATCCGTTTAAGACCAGCTGTGTTAATTAAGGGATAAAGACATTTTAAAAAATCGAGAGAAATTAATTGCAACAATACATATATGTATTTTCAATTTGTGTTTTCGTAGATATTATATATTTCAATGTTGCACTGCTACAATTACATGCATGATGCATTCATTCACAAGTCACAAGATAGACTAGCTTACAACCATATTGTCCTTCTAATTCAGTTTCATTTATATTAAACAGTATAAATTTGGACGTAAATAGTGTACATATTAGATTAAGAATTATCATTTTCATGTACGCCAATCATTGAGATGAAGGACAAGTAAAGTGAGTAATTTGCATGTCCTCTGCCTTGCATGTGTCTTATTAGATAACTTCATTGTGTATTTCTTGTAATATTTGCATTCATCTATCTCGATCGATCTTACTTGTCAATAATTTAATGTGTACTTCTATATTACACGGTTTAGGTCTCTTTACAAACTTAGAATATGTCTTCACATGAAAGATTGGAAGCACCTCATTAATCTTCTTTCAACCTGAGCTGATTTCTCCTTTGCAATAATTGAAATGGGGTTGGATTTAACAATGTCATGAAAAGTTCTACATAGCTTGTTGAATTACATGCTTCATGAAATCTAGTTGGTGGTCAATTTGTCACTAGTAGTAGGTATTCGATCACTTTATCGTAATACTCTTCATCTCATGGAATTGTTTAGCTAAGCCTAGTGTATGACGAGACCAGAAAATCTGGACTCCATTCTAATCGACTTATTTTGTCTGAACTTATTCAAAATTATTTTTATTGTACCAAAACTTAAAAAAAAATTGTCGAATTTGAAGCTATCCCTAAAAATCTAATACATTATCATGTAATCTATATATTGGAGTATTGGATGGACCGACCAACATAAGAATTCAATCAAATGTTTGTATGAAATTTTTGCATGACACCACAATCGTATTAAGTGTTTAACCTTTATTCCCGCCCACAATTGTAAGAGCAATAAGATTAGCAAGTTGACACATAAAAAGACAAAACATCACATAGGATGCGTTGCCAATCAGAGTAATACTGTATCTTTGATGAACATCTAAAATCTGAGTAGATAAGTATGCATAAATTTTGTGGGCTCATTTTTGCTTTGTTTTCTTTTTTTTGTGGGGTGACGATCCGATTGTTTGTCCTCACTTCCTATCTATTCATATTTGTAATATCACCAAAGACATCTCCTATGTTGATTTGCGATGCTGGTGCTTTCAAATCCAACATCTTTGATTATGTTACATCCTAATTAAGATGGTTTGTTTAATAATGAGACGGTCTAATCGAATGTTTAGAGATATTATAATAGATTCGAAAAGACAAATTGAATTTATAAACTGTACCCTAAATTTACATGATTCTCTAATTATGCCTTAGCTACCTCCATAGTGTATTAAATAGATCAATTTTTATTGAATGCAAGAGGAAATTTTTACAAATCTTTTGTAGTACATATCAATAAATTGGGCGGCTACGTTAATAATTAAGAGGTGCATAAACGAACTACAAGAAATGATGTTTATACACCCCATGTACAATTCAAATGAATACACTTTTTTTTTATTATTACAAGAGTAGAGTGAGTTTGGACTACAAGAAATGATGTTTATTGGTGATGAACTAAAAATAATACTTCGTTTTAGATACTTATTCATTGCGGGTAAGGTTTTGTTCATTTCAGTTAAGTTGATGCTTTATTTGGAGTCTAATAACACATATGCATGGGTTGTAATGAGTAAAATCTACTAAATCCTTTTCTTTTTTTTTAAAGGAATATTGTGTGTGATGTATATTTGAATAAGTGTGGAAAAAAATCACCAAAAGTTTAGTTACTTCAAACATCAATGAATTTGTGTTTGATAGATGCTATAACTTATTAGCTTATTAAGTTACTTCAAACATTATTAAATAATAAGTTTTTTTTAAAAAAACAAAAAAAAAAAGACAATAAGTGATAAGATTGATAATTCTTGTGTTTAAATTTCCATAGTATAGTATAATTATCAGCAAGGACAACAACTAACACCTTGATCTAGCAATTTCACATATTCTTCTCACGAATCTCACTTACAAATAATGTCATCCTTGATCAAGCATTGTAAAAAATATATATTTTCTTTTCACTTAAATATAATTCAGGAAAATATAATTTGATAGCTGATAGGATTATTTCAATTCACAACTAATATTAAATGAATTGAAGCATTAGAGCTTTCAAAAATAATAAAATAAAAATAAAATCAAATAAAAAATTGAAAGACAAAAAATTAAAAAAAAAAAAATTGAAGCATTAGAAAAGTTTGTTTCATGTGCAAGAAAATACTCTATAACTATACAAAGCTCTTGATTAGATCAAATCTTATCCCTTTATAAATTAGAACCATATAATGTTGTCCTCATTTAACTTATGAAACAAATCTTTCACACACTTTGAAAGTAAATTAATTGCTTGATTACTACCAAGCTAACCATGGGCCAATATAGTGGAGACTGGAGAGTGACAAAGTCCAATTTAGTTACATTCACAAAATACATAGAGAGATTTCAAAAATCTGCTATTTTGTATTCAATGATGAGGTAAGATATATATATTTATAGTTTATATCTATCAATCCTAGAAAGATTTTCATTGGACTAGTTTAGTAGGAATACTCCAAAAAGCAAATTAGCTTAGGCATAGACAAATATGGCCCCCAATCACTAACAAAGAACCATGATCACAAATTGGCAAAATTTTAGAATAGTACACCAATTAAGTAAAAGTAATCCAACTATATTTATCTACCTATTATTATGTGGTCCAAAATCATCAATTATTTGTCATTTTAGTCAATAATAAATTGATAAATCTAATACACCATGGATTTTGAGTGGAAAATATAAATTTCGACAAAATATTATTCTCGTCACTTTATGGATAATTTATAATTTGTTCAGAACCATATATATGACATGGAAATCTCGAATCACTTAAGAATAAAGTTTTCAACATAGTAGATGACTATATATATATATGTAGATTTTAGACCAAGCAAAAAGAAAATCCTTTTTTTTATTAAGTCATATGTAATCTTCATATATATATATATATACACACATACATATATATTCTCACAAAAAGGTTTTATAAAATGGCCCAAAATAGCTTTAGCTATCCTAGATTACCAGAAGAGGAAACTATGAGTCATCATTTTCATGGTACTACTGCAACAAGAAGCATGCAGTTTTTGCAAGAATTACCTACAAATTATGGCTTTGAATTTGAAGGAAATGCAGAATTAGAAGATAAAACTGCTGCTAATTCCTCTCATAGCCACAGGCAAGCTGAGAAGCGCCGTCGCGATCGGATTAATGGGCAGCTTGCTAGGCTTAGAAGGCTTGTACCCAAGTCAGATAAGGTATGCAATAATTAATTAAGCCTCCTTAATCTAGATTTTATTAACATAATAATGTACTGTTTGTTATATATGTTTAAGTTTGTTTAAACACATTGTATATTTGTATGTATAAGAGATGATATATAAAGCAATGATCATTATCATCATCATATGTTATTAACCATCAATAGTTTTAATTTGGCCTAATTGATATAAAATTTAATAGTGTCCATAAAATAGTTTTATTACTTAATTTGATGATTTCATCTTGGTGCAAGATCGTGACTTTTCATATTTTGGAAAATGTTTTAGGCCCCAATGAAAGAATTGTTATTATAGTCCTAACTTCCAACCATTCAACTAATTTATCATTATCTTTTAATTTGTTATCGAATCGGGCCCTCTTACATGTTAGTCAGTACAAAACAAACAAAAAAAGGATCACTTTGTTGGTTATGGATGACAGTATTGTGGTACTCCCTAGTTCCCTATAGCCTAAGTACTCATGTTTATCAAGTTATTAGTGGATTCTTAAATTCTTATTCCCATTGATTAGTCTAATTAGTTGAGTCATTTATGCTTGTTTTCATCATAACCTCGAGCATTAAGATATATATCAATGAAGTCAAAGTAGGTCCAAAAACTTATTAAGATGTCTAGGGAGCTAATTTAGAGCAGTATCATTGCTTACATTATGTTTCATTTGAAAGATTCTCCATGTATCTTTAAAGGTGCTACTTTTACAAACATAATTCACATGATTAAATTTCTGATATAAAAAAAAAAAAACAAAAACAAAAACAAAAAAAAAATATAATTGTTGTGTTTCACAATGTGAGCAATGATTTTGCTTCTTCATCAAATTGCTTTAAACACATTGTGACATTATCTACCATATTATAGAATAAGGGAAAATAATATAACCAGATGTTATACTTTCTAAAATTCGAATGATATTGGATAGTCTCCTTCTTGAATTACTAAAATGCCCTTATTTTTTCAGTAATCTTATAGAAAGAATAATTGTCTATGTGTGTTATGAAAATAAAGTATATATTATCACGTGCATTTAGAATTTGTTTTGCAATATTTAAAAAACATCATGACGGTTTTCTAACTTTGTAAAACAGATGGACAAGGCAGCTCTCCTAGAAAGAGTAGTAGAGCAAGTTAAAGACCTAAAAAGAAAAGCATCAGAAATCAGCAAACTCTTTACAATCCCAACAGAAATTGATGACATTACTATTGAATGTCACACAAATAATATGCAAGGAGGCTTTCCAACGATTGCTCGTAATCAGAAAGAAAATCATCCCAACAACAACAACAACAACAACAACAACAACAACATAATGTTTTTGAAGGCTACATTATGCTGCGAAGACCGGCCCGACTTAATCCCTGAGCTAATCCGGGCACTTAAAGACCTCAACTTGACCATAATTGGAGCTGAAATTGGTTGTTTAGGAGGAAGATTGAAAAGCATTCTATTACTTTACTATAAATTAGATAATAATGATGGTGTTTGTAATGTTAGTGCAATTAAGCAGTCTTTAATGGGTGTTTTGACTAGAATTATATCATGGTCTAGTGCTAGTACTTCAAATTTTCGTGTCACAAGTAAGAGGCAACGCTTCTTTTTTTCCTCTTAGTTAATAAATAGGTATAACATTATTGAGTTTTACATTATTATATATATATAATACGTGGAAGTATATATATGAAATAATCACGTCATGTGAAGTCCAATGATAATGCATGCTTTTTCGAGGTTATAAAACATGATTTGATTTTATTATGGATCACGATGAAATATTTAATATACACCATGGGACATTGCCTAGATGTAATTTACATTTTTTTTGAACAATAGATGTAATTTACATTAATCACAAATATATATACCTTTTTTTATAAATACAATAAGGTACATACTTAATTGAAATAGTCACGTGGTACATTGTACCATGACTTGGTGCAATAGACAATATAATATATATGTCGATATATGACAAAATATGAGTGGGAAAGAAGCATAAAAACATACAAACAAAATGACATGAATGTAATGTTGGAGTGTAACTAAGTTTTAGCGCGTAAAAACAGTTGTAGCAAATGTTAGGAGTTGATAAGTGTTTACGGGTGAAAGCTGAAGCAATGCCTCCTACATGTTTCCTTATAACGCAACCACAATTCCAATCCACAAGTTTACTGTGACTAGTTTACTCTTTACCTACCTTAATTTTTCTCATTAACCTTTGTTATACTACTAACTTTTAATACTCTACCATTATAATAATTCATGTGTTGCTTGCATTATATTACCTACCTTTAGTTAACATTTATTATTAACATGCATGCCTTATTTATTTACCTAAAACCTTTGTATTTAAATAGGTTGAGAAATAATTTGGACTATGCAATATAAACAATTCAACATGGATAATCTAATCAGAATAGTTACAATTTTAGATTAAAAAATACAAAAGAGAATAATCTATCATTTATTGGACTATCCTACTAATTACAAAGTATTAAAAAAATTTAGAATGAAACTTTTTCCAAAAGTTTAAACTTCGTAGAATAATTAAGCTCTCCTATAACTGTCCATGGTTAAGGTTGCATTTTGCACTGCAGACCGAAACCTCCAAAATTTTTCAAAAAGTGTGGATATTAGCCTTTAATTTTAGAGTTTTTTTACTTTTTCACCCGAAAATAAAAATTGCCGAAATGTTTACCATGGTCCCTAATATCATCCGCGAGTCCAATTGGCTGGGTGGAAACATCCAATTTGTCTTTAAACGACCAATTTACCGGTTTACAACTTGCACCGATTTCATTAACTCAAGCCTACCACAAACATTTATGACAACATATAATGATCAATATATGGTTCCAAACGACATATATGACCCCGAGATGTATCCCCTAAAATCTCAATGTTTTTCGATACCGGGCCTCGTAACATTCTAAATTTCTCAAAAAGCATGGATATTAGCCTTTAATTTTGGAATTTTTTTACTTTTTGTCACCCGGAAATAAAAATTGCCGAAATATTTACCATGATCCCTAATACCCTCTGGGATTCCAATTGGATTGGTGGAACCATCCTATTTGCCTTTAAACGACCAATTTACCGGTTTACAACTTGCACCGATTTTATTAACTTAAGCCTACCACTAACATTTATGACAACATATAATGATTATTTATGGTTCCAAACGGTATTATATGATCTCGAGATTTATCCTCTAAAATCTCATTTCTTTTTGACAACAGGCCCCGAACCCTTCTAAATTTCTCAAAAAACATGGATATTAGCCTTCAATTTTGGAATTTTTTGACTTTTTTCGCCCGGAATATAAATTGCCGAAATGTTTACCGTGGTCCATTTTACCCTCCGAGAGTCCAATTGGGTGGGTGGAACTATCCAATTTGCCTTTAAACGACCAATTTTACGGTTTACAACTTGCACCGATTTCATTAACTCAACCTTACCACGAACATTTATGACAACAAATAATGATTAAATATGGTTTCAAACGACATTATATGACCCTGGGATTTATTCCCTAAAATTTTAAGACTTTTAGACACCGGACTCTGAAGACTCCAAAATTTCTCAAATAGGTAGATTATAGCCTTCAATTTTGAAATTTTTAGACTTTTTTCGCCTAAAAAAAAAATTTGCCGAAATGTTTACCTCTCCGGGAGTCTAATTGGGTGGGTGCAACCACCCAATTTGCCTTTAAACGGCCAATTTACCGGTTTACAACTTACACCGTTTTCATTAAATCAAGCCTACCACGATCATTTATGACAGCATATAATGATCATATATGGTTTCAAACGGCATTATATGACCCCGAAATTTATGCCCTAAAATTTCAAGGATTTTCGACATCGGGCCTCGAAACCTCCAAAATTTCTCAAAAAGTGTGGATCTTAGCCTTCATTTTTGAATTTTTTGACTTTTTTTCGCTCATAAATAAAAATTGCCGAAATTTTTACCATGATCCCTAATACCCTCTAAGAGTCCAATTGGATGGGTGGAACCATCCAATTTGCCTTTAAACGGCCAATTTACCGATTTATAACTTTCATCGATTTCATTAAATCAAGCCTACCACGAACATTTATGGCAATATATAATGATCACATATGGTTCCAAACAGAATTATATGACCCCGAGATGTATCCCCTAAAATCTCAAGTCTTTTCGACACCGGACCCTAAAACCTGCAAAATTTCTCAAAAAAGTGGATAACCCGACCTGATTGTAACCTGCAAATTATTGACTAAAACATAACACGACTTGTATCCAAGAATGATCCAACTAGGTTATAACCAGCAAATTATTGACTTGAACCAAACCCGACTTGAACCCGAGAATGACCCGACTTGAAAATGACCCGACCTGATTATAATCCTCAAATTATTGACTTGAACCAAACCCGAATCAAACCCGAGAATGACCCGACCTGATTCTACCGCAAATAATTGATTTGAACCGAACCCTACTCGAACCCGAGAATTACTCTAACCCGTGAAAACCCGAATTAAATCCAACTTATTGTTCACCCGACCCGAATGTAACCCGACTTATTATCTACCCGACCCAATTCGATAAGAAGTATGACCCGACGTGACCCAACTCAAGCATGACCTAACCTAAACCGGATCTGCATAGGTTATGGAATTAATCCGAGTTGACCTGACCCACTCTTACCCGATCTAAACCCGACTCGTTTACCCGAATTGACAGCTCTAACTACCATACACATAATAAGTAGGTGTCACAAATTGTATACGTGAACAGAAAGGCAGAAATTTACTCAACAAAATGTAAAATTTTATGCCAAGATTTTACAATAAAAATAATTGAAGTAAATCATCTAGAAGAAATAATATCTCCATAGTAAATCTGCATCAGCCTTACAAACAAGATTACAAATGTATATGTATGATTCGTTTATTTGACTTCAAACATTTGATTTGGTCCAACACTTCTGTTAGATAAGTAGGATTGGAACTTGTAACAGAATATAACAACGTAACCACTAATCTATCAAACGTTGTAAGTTTAAGAGTATTAATCCCATCCGAAACAAAATATAGACTTACAAATCCACAATTTTCCTCATAACTGATTCTAATCTACAATTTTGTTATACCAAACTTTTTAGACTTAAATTAAAAGGACAGCTATAATCTACCCTTAAATAGTATTTACACAACACCAATGCAATTTCACAATACGTCTCATAAACGTGTTTTTTACTCCATATCCAGCCTCAACGCTTAATCATCTCAAATCACATAAAAGTCATAATCTTACAAAGTTGACTAAAATGTCGTAAACGTTTGCGACATTCTTAAAAAGAAGAAAGAAAGAGAGAGAAATACTTCCCAACTGCCATAGTTTCGGAGTTTGGTGAAAACAGTCGTTGAATAACGTAAATTAGTAAATAAAATTAAAAAGATAAAATAGCTTAACTAACCCATAAAATTTGCCGTTAATGCAAAAAATAAAAATCAGTTACACCAAAAAATTTGTAACCTCCCACACCAGCAGCAAGGCAGTTATAACTTACTCCTTCTCTCTCCTCAATATAAACCTCTTTCTCATCCATTTTTTCTTCTTCATTAAAAAAAATTAAATTAACAAAAACCTCCATAAAATTTGAGAGTTTCAGAAAAATCTTCAACCAATGGGAACACAGAACGACGTCGTAAAGGATCGGGTGAAGGGATCATGGACCCCACAAGAGGATGCAACGTTGAAAAGGCTAGTGGATCAACATGGGCCGAGGAATTGGACTTTGATAAGCGAAGGAATTCCAGGGAGGTCCGGTAAATCATGCAGGCTAAGGTGGTGTAATCAGCTAAGCCCAGATGTTCAACACCGGGCTTTCAGCCCAACAGAGGATGAGATTTAATCCAGGCCCATAAGGCCCACGGTAATAGATGGGCCACAATCGCTAAGCTTCTTCCTGGGCGTACGGATAATGCGATTAAGAATCATTGGAATAGTACACTTAGGAGGAAACGGGACCCACAAGTGGGGGCGGAGTCGAAACGGCAGCGAGTTGAGGTGGCGGTTTCGAGTGAGTCTGAATCGGGGGTGATTAAGAAGGAGGTGAGTTCTGGTGTGGTGTCGGAGCAGGAAGAGGATGGTGGGGTTGAGACGGTTTTGACGCTTTTGCCACCTGGGAAGGTTATGGATGTGCCACGTGGAGGAGAGAGAGAAGGGGAGGATCAGGTGAGGAAGGGTGATGATGAGGGTGAGATTAAGAAATTGATGAGATGTACGGTGGGGAGAGATGACACGTGTTTGATAAATGTGATGCAGAATATGATTGCAGCGGAGGTTAAGAGTTATATTGATCGTCTTGTTCTTCAGCCCAAAAGTGGTGATGAGAATGCGCCTAAATCGGATTCAGCCCGTCATAGTAAATAATTATAGGTTTTTTTTTTTTTTTTTTTTTTTTTAAACTGGGGTGAGGGTTTTGCAGTTTATTTAGGGAAGAAGAGAACGTAAAGAATCTTCTGTTTCAGGGATAAGTGAAGTAATAATAAATAAGAGTTGGTTGTTTATCCTCCATATTGGTAAAGAAATGAAAAGTACCAGTAGGGAATAAATTCGATGTACATTTGTGTAATTAATAGAGTAATATTCCTAAGTCCTAACTTTGCCTAATGATCTGTTTTTGCGAAAGGTTAAACAAGGCATTCTGAGTAATCAAGCTTATCCGTAATTTACAGTTTTTTAAAAAAGTTTTGGTTGCATCAATTACGCCCTTGATAAAATTAGCGCCAACAGGTACTCATTAGATACGCTATTTATACTTACTTCATGCACAACGCTACTAACTAGTTTGTGTACCAACTCTCTCTTATGAAAAGGTCTGCTTGGGTTAAGGAACAATCGTGGCATAGCTTTGACAGTTTTTGAACTCAGGGAAATTAGAGGGATAGGCAGCTGAAAAAATATAAGATATGAAGTTTTGAATTGTTGCCACTTGATAATATTATAGTTTTATGATGATGGGTTGATAGTAAATTCACACAAAGAGTATACATTAACGACTCTTCAAGGAGAAAAAGATAAAACCTACACCAATATCAAAATCAGCACAAGTAATGATCACCAAAAAAAATCATGCCCTTTAAAAAAGATGATGTAAATTTTAAAAAGAATGACATGAATTATGTATTCATCGAATCATCATCACTGGACTACAAGTCTACAATAGAAAATAAAAATAACGGTAGCATCAAAAGAGCTTCCCATACCAGTATACCACTACCTAAAAAAAATACAGGTCAAATCATACGCAGGGGAGCAATGTTTACAAGTCCCCAGCACCAAACAACCTCCAAATTCATCATCACTCTTTACTTACATGGCTATAAATTACACGCAAAGGAAAGCAATGTTTAAAATACGAGCACAGGATAACCTTCCCAATTCATAATAGTATTAGTAAACCATAGGCTCCAAAATTTCCATTCGAATAACATTCATCATCTAATTGTTGCCACAAATCATTTCACCCATCATCAAACAAACCATGATAATTACAGTAGTTGACAATTTAAGATTAAGGCATCAAAATGTTCCGAACAAGTAACACAATTTCTTCATTGTATTTGGGAAAATTACTATACTAATCATTCCAGCATTTCCTACAGCTATGAATTTATCTTTATACAAAAGCATCCAAAATTAAAATTCGTTCTTAATCTTCAATTACTTCTGCATTTATCCTCAACAACATAGATCCAGCAATAATATTAATGAAATGCAAACAATATATATTGAATTCAGTGAAGTAGAAAGATAAGAAGACTAAAGAGATTCAGGTAAAAAGGTAGAAAAAACTCTTGAGTTACATTACTCCAAAATTCATGTTTATCAAAATGTATCAATTACATGACACGAAAAAACTTAGTACCTAAATCACTTCGATTGCCATAGAAACAGCTAATCGATCGACGAACTAAGATTTAACAATACGAAACAAAATTAAAAACTAAAGGAGTAACCATGAAAGCTGTAGATCCTCTTCTACTTAGATCTCTGTCTCATCTTTCGGCGCTTCCTCTTCAATCTCCTCATACGCTTCTTCTTCCACTGCAAAAATCAATCAAATCAACAAGTCGAACATTAACAATGGCGGAAAAACATTATTTCTATTGAATCGAACATATCAATGAATTTAAGAAAGAAACTTAAGTTAATCGATTGATTAATGAAGAAATTCAAAGTACCTTGGCCCTCATGATGAAAGGATGAAGAAAGTCGGCAACCTCAAAACCCTAATCGACGGATGTAGCAGCCGATGAGAGAAAAAGGGGGAGTCAACAGTTAGGAAAGGAAAGGATGAGGGTTTTGGGATAATATATAGCGAAACCCTATCGATGTTTATGGATTTATGGGCTTTTACTAGAAAATGTTGGGGTTTGGGCCTTATTCGTAAATTATGGGCTAAACTACAAGTTTACTATTCTGAATCGTTCTTTTATTTACGAAGGAAATGGGTGTGTCAATGTGTCATGTATCCATTTGTGGACTTGTGGTAGACTCCAATTATTGGTGCACCTAATAGTCAAGACTCAATGATATATTCTTTTTTTAACACATAAAAGACGATTTATTAATTAATTATAATGTTTACAACCCAAACAGACAAACCTAACAACTAAAGTCTCAATGATATATTCTATGCTTAATTTTATGACTCTTGTTCATTTGAAATATGTTTAAAAAAATAATAAAATAAATTATAACACGTTTGATTATAATAAGTGCGAGTGTGTATGTAAGAACATTCACATCAGTATAAGCATGCCTGACTGTTTGTTATAGATATTTCGTGTAAAACATGTGAGTGATATTTGACCTCATGAATTGGCTGCTAATGTACCACTTCTCCGAGAGTTTGACCAACTGAGTAAGTAACTTTTACTTGCTATGTATGAACCAACTCTGCATTCATAACATTATGGAGTGAAAATTATAACTGTGAAAATCAATGGCATAGTAATTTGTTTATAGTTTTAACTTTTTATTGTGGTGTAAAAAGGGATAGTATAATAATTGGTTTATTGTGGAGTGAAAATTGTGGTTGTAAAAAGGGATAGTATAATAATTGGTTTGTAGTTTAATTTTGTATATTGTGAAGACAATGGCTTTTAGTGTGATATAGATGGTGCACAAGGCTACAAGTGAAAGAAAGATGACTTTTTTCTACTTATGATTGGCTTTCACCTTCGTTATGAGACAACCTATCCCATTCTTACTCATAACAAAATGAGAATTTAGTTCGCATTTGTTGCTAACTATCTGAGAGACATCAAGCATTTCTCTTCCTTGCCATGCTCATTTTCAATTGAAAATCGAGATGGTCACTAAAACATAAAGAGGCTCAACACAACATGACTTACATGAGTGGTAGAACAAGGGAATATAAACTACGTTTGCAAAAAAACTGGCATGTCAAGAGTCGAGACACAATTTAAATGGCTCTATCTTTACCCCCTGCAGCCATGTCGTGCAGTTGTGCCATGAGGCATGAGCTGCTAGGCTCAACCTCTATGGCCTACCAACTTAGCCCATTGCCACCCTAAGTTAAAAGGTGCTCAAATCAGGTGCTATCTTGACAATCTAGTAGTTTTGCAGATGTACTTGCCAATATACACTTTACTGGAGTCTAAAATATCACTGGAAAAAACAGCATATCTAACACCTCTCCACATCTACAAATGTGATGGATTACATGGATAAGCGCTAATTGACATAAATTAGTACATTGAACATAACATTTCCCTTATTTGGTATGCAAAATTGATCTATCAGTATCACTTTTCCACAATAATGCAATTTGCAATTCTATCACCTAATAATTCATCATAAGCTAATATCAGTAGGATCTTTTAATAATATCTCTGTCGTAATCAGCCTACAAAATCGAAACCTTCTGCATTCACATCTAATATCTCTGTCGTAATCTCCCTGCTACAAAATTGTAACCTTCCGCATTCACATCAACACCCCGGAACACATCTATTCACGTCAACACCTAAGAATGAATATACTTTCAAAAATACTAGAATTCAATATAAGAAACCTTGCACTTCATTTTCAATTTCACATTGAACAAATTGGTTCAAGTATCGTACCAAAGAAACTAGCAATACAAATTATCCAAATGTGAAATGTCATATCATAAACCTTATCCAGCCGTCCGAAGTTAGTATGATACAACAACTTTTGAGTTGGGAAATTAAGTGTCTCGAGTCGTAAAATTAAGTCAATTTTCAAGAATCAATTCATAAATGTGACCCCTTTCCACTTATATACAACAAGTGGATTGTCAAGATACGGTCTTTGATCTGCATTTCAGCTTATCTATCTATCTTAGATGGGAATTTAAACAACAAAATATTAGTTGTACACCATTTTCCCATCTAATAATTCCAAATTCCCCATAACTTTTTTTTTTTTTTTTTTATTTATCCAGAACTTTCTTGTTCCCAATTATAATTATGCAAAAAAAATAAATAAATAAAACATTCAATATTTATATTGAGATCCCAAAATTAGGATTACAAACTACAAAGGGTTGATTTTTACAATTTAAAAGAACTGGAAAAAATTTCTGGTTCTCCATAATATACAACCAAATAATTTAATACAGTTCTGTCGTCTAAGTGACGCTGTCACACACTCAATTGATGGTACGACTGTCACACTTATTTACATTTTACAAAATATTGAAAAAAATATATATATATTAATAATCATAATAATAATTAAAAAAGAGAAAAATTCAACAAATCCGCTGAATCACGATTATGTGATTTTTGGGTTGTTGCATCAAAATCTTCCTCTCTAATTAACCAACTAACCCACAAAAAAAATAGAAGTGGGTAAATTTCGATCTGGTATTAAACAAATCAAAAAAAAATAATGAAAAAAAATCATACAGCTAATATTACCGACGGGTCAGAAGGCGGGTCAACTCGGAGAGAGAGTCGACAAAGTGGGCAACTGGATTGAGTACAAAGCCAACGATCTACACAATCTGAGTGAAATCGATGATCACACTTAGGCAACACTTTGACTTTATCACCATCTTCGAAAACACCTAAACAAATACAACATTCCATTTCATCTTCCCTTCCAACGGATGACCGTTGGTGGAGGAGTATGGGCATGGCCTTGATGACAATCGGATCTAGACCGTGGCATATGGCCGGGTCTGCCGACGTGTGTGATACGTGCGCTTGTGAGTTGTGGTAGTGCGCGTGGTGGGCGTGGCGAAAGCGGAAGTACCACCGCGCGTAGAGTAATAAGAGGGTGACGAGGAGGATGATGGAGAAGAGGATGAAGAGGTAAAAGAGGGTTTGGCCGTGGATTTGGAAATTGTGGTCGTCGAATTCGGAGTAATGCCAGTGGAGTAAGCGGGAGTTTTCGTCGGTTGTGAGTTGGGAGAGGTGGTTCAGGAGGTGGCGACTCGACATGGCGGCGGCGCGTGCGGTGGAGAGAGAAAGAGGGAGTAGGAGAGAGAAAGAGAGTGAGTTTTTTGTGTGTTTGGATTTTGAATTGACGAATTTGACTTAAGAAGAGTGTTTGTTGAAGGGGGGTTTATAGTGTAGTGAGAAAAGGGAAGAGGGAGATGTGGTGGGGGTAAAATGGGGATTGTGACCACGTCGATGGTGGGGAAGAAAAAATAAAATGATTTTTTTTTTTTTTTTTTTTTTTGGAAAAGGTGAGAAAAATAAAATGGGAATTATGGGAATGGGGTGTTTTTTTAGGTGATTGTGATTTATGTGAATAGTGATTGATTTGATTTGATTTGGGAAAAAGGAAATTATAATGGGGGGTTTTTGGTATTGGTTGTTGTTGTTTTAGCTTATGGGTTAAGGCTCAAAGACAAAGTGGTATGAGTTGGTAATAAGGAAGGGAAAGGAGGAAGCAAGGGGGTGTGTTGTTACTTGTTAGTTAGGTGTTACTTAGGTTTAAATGATTGTAAAGAAGCATTGTATTTTTCATTAATCGATTAATGAGGATGAGGTATTTAAATCATATTTGATAAAAGGTATGCAAATGAGAATACGTTTATGCATTTAGCTTATTATAGAGTCTAGACAGAAAAGATGAGCTTAAACAAAATACGATTATATTATGATTATATATTGAAAATAAACTCAAAGCTTTTAACAAAAATAAAGAAAATGTTCGCGGAAAATAAGTTCAAAAAATAAATTCAAAACAAAACGAAATCATATACTAGTAATATAATGTAAAATTCAAACAAAATAAATTTATTTGTGGATTGACTACGCATTACTTTGAAAGTTAATATAATACAACAAAAATAAAGAAAATGTTCGCGGATTAAATCGGTCAATTTCACCACTTCTTAAACTTGTTTGGTCCAATTTGGAATCAAAGCCCTTAAAAAACCTTTACCAAGAACATGCATCTTGTAGATTTGTACTCTTGTTTGCAATTTGGCATCCCAAGTCAGCATTCTCTCTTTCAATGGTCTCACTTCTTAGGCTCGAATGGTGGCCAAAGACAAAGCTTAATTGGGACCCTTTTGCAATTTTGTTTAAAATACTGTATACTAGGCCCATTTGAATTACATTGTACATAATTAATTAGTAACCATGACCATTCTCTTTGTGTCAAATAAACTTCTCAAATTTGCAAATTAGTTCTATCACATCAAATGCCTTTGAAGAAACATCTCACATAAATACTACTCCGTAAATAATCTCTCTCTCTCTCTCTTTTCTCTCTCTCTCTCTCTTTTTTTTTTTTTTTTTTGAGGATTCATTCTTTTTTAATTGGATCCACTAAGATTGATCTATTTCCTTTAACTAAGTCATTAATTCCCATATTCTCTCATTTATACTTCTTATAACATAAAAAATTAAAAGAAGATAACTTTATGTAATTAAAAACAATTTGGATTTTATAAGATTAATGTCCCCTTTAACTGAAATGAGCTAAGATGAAATGAATATTTTATGAGAGAAAAAAATTAGGAACTAAATTGAACTAAACTGATTGGAGCTGAATTGAACTGAATTGAAATTAAGCTGAAGTTAACAGGTCCTAAGTAAATGATCGAACAAAAATTGAGTGAATTTGTAATACCGGCAGTATCATGCAAGCTAATTTGATTTGGTGATAAACAACTTCTAATAATACTACACTTTTTTATTATATTCTATTTACAGGAATGGGTATATATTGAACTTATTTTATTTTATTTTATTTTTTGGTGAAAATATAGACTGAAATTAGTACTGGATTAACAAGAAGAGTATGGAATGAAACTAACAAGAATGAGAAAAAAAAAAAAAAAAAAAAAAAAAAAAAAAAAAAAAAAGAGAAAAATACTCAAAGTCGAGAATAGAATGGTCGAATAAGACTATAAGAGAGGATTTATAGGCAATGGTCCATGAGTCAAATAATGATAGGACAATAAGCAATATATATGTCCTTGGACGCTTCAATGATGATCTTTTTTATTTTTGGTAATTTGCTTTAATTTACTTTTGTTGTCACTTTGCTGTTTGCAAGTTTCCATGACTATAATTAGCTTTTTTTCACAACAACAATAATAATATAAAAAAGGAAAAATTGATTCTAATAATTCCACCTTTAGTCGGTTCGCTGTTAATAATCCCACCTTTAGATTATTATTTAATAATCCCACCTTTATAGGGGATCTTATTCTGTTGGTCACTAACCTGTTGATAACCGGTTTTTACAGGTTGATATGCATTGTGTCGTGTTTTAATTGGTTGAAAAAAAAAACCTAAAAAAAACTGAAAAAATAAAAAACAAAACTGAAAAAAAAAAGAATAAAAAACCCACCAGCCACCTCCTCAGCTCCACCCACCAGCCACCTAACCTTACCTCAGCCCCACAAAAACCGGCAGGCCGCCACCCGTACCCTTGAAAATGGCCGGACGGAACCCCCCATTACCGAAAACCACCCCGCCGAAACCACCACAGCCACCACCGACCAAAATCATCCCTAACCCGAATCCCATCCCCCGAAACCACCACAGCCACCACCTTAAAATCCCACCCAACCGCCGAAACCCCCTCTACTCACTGACTATCGCCTAAACCGCCGAAAACCACCGGAAATCCCTGAAACTCTTACCCAAATTCAACCTCAAGCCATCCCTTGAAATAAATTCATTGTTTTTTTTTTAAATTCCTTGAAATTAAGGGCTTTGATGGTTTCCATGGGTGAGGGTTGGAATCGGGCCAGTTTTTGTCGGGGAAAGGTGGGAACGGGGTTCAGGTGGTGGGGATGGGGGTTCGACGGTGGAGGAGGGGCTGCCGGAGGTCGGGTTAGGGACCTTAGGGTGTTCGTTGGGGCTGGCTTGGTTTTAAAAAAAAGTTATTTTTTTACCAATAATTTAGTGACACGTGTCACTCAATTTTTTTTTAAAAAAAGTTTACCCGTTGTTCAGGTTACCGGTCATGAGGGACCAATAGAAGAAGATCCTCTATAAAGGTGGGATTATTAAATAATAATCTAAAGGTGGGATTATTAACAGCGAACCGGTTAAAGGTGGGATTGTTAGAATCAATTTTTCCTATAAAAAATTACTATTATAGGAATAATTCTTGTATTAACTTGATGAGGATAATGGATCTAAGGGCTACTCAATTTTGTATGAGCACTTCACTCTAATTGAAAGGTGAATATGAAACCTACAATATAAGGTTTGAAGTGTATTTAAGATAACATAATTTAGGTTTAATAACATAATTAGGCTTGAAATTTAATAAGAACTTGATAACAAGGATAATGGATCTAAGGGCTACTCAATTTTGTACGAGCACTTCACTCTCAATTGAAGGTGAATATGAAACTTGAAGTGTATTTAAGATAACATAATTTAGGTTTAATAACATAATTAGGCTTGAAATTTAATAAGAACTTGATAACAAGGATAATGGATCTAAGGGCTACTCAATTTTGTACGAGCACTTCACTCTCAATTGAAGGTGAATATGAAACTTGAAGTGTATTTAAGATAACATAATTTAGGTTTAATAACATAATTAGGCTTGAAATTTAATAAGAACTTGATAACAATAAAAAGTATAAGGACTGTAACTACACCAACCTACTAAATCAGACCATTTTCAAATCAAAATCGAATAGGAGCTACACTTTTGTATTTGACTTGTTTCAATTGATCAAAAAAACGAATAACACAACTTCTCTAATCACCATGCATTTTGTCTACTCCCATTGTTTTTTAAATTCATTTATTGTACTATATTGATCAATCTCTGAGTATATGTTACAAGTTAGTACAACATTGATCTAAGTCATGCATGTACCTTAAAACCCCTTATTCCAACAACCAATGATACTCATACTACCAAAGCCATAATTTTTCTTTTCATTCTCTAATAAATTAACGTGATGTAATTATAAAATTAATTAGAAATTGTACGTCAGTTGTTATTGTCCATTACATTTTCATTGAGGTAAAATCAATTGACAATCCAAATGAGCTTTAAAACTTGAAATAAGGTGAATCACAAGATGTGACTTTCAACAACATGACTCGGTTAACTACATGATCATTGTTGCCATAATCTTGATTAATTAACAAAGGCATTATCCTTTACAGTACAAGTAGTAATTAAAAATAATCCTCCAATCATTCCAATGTAAAACAAACAACATGTGCACAACATTTGCATATCAACCAACAATTTCCAAGGTTGATTCCCCTTAAATGAAACCCACGGTTCTTGAAGTATTAAATTGCATAGTTTAAAACTTTGGTAATAGATATTTATATAATCACCATCACACATGCAAAACAAAAAAAGTTACCCAAATGGACCCATAATCTTGAACAAGATATATAGTTCATCCATGCATGTGATGATACTTTTCTAAGGCTGCATGCATGTTAAGGAAATTTAAATTCATAAAGGATGATGGAAGCATTCTTGATAAAATCCCAACATGCATCCTACTAGCTAGGCTACTATCAACTCTTCAATTCTTCATGTGCAAAGGGTTCTTGATGAAAAGACTATTTAGTCATGGAGTTGATATAGACCTCTTGCTACAAAGGAGCTATTGGTCATCACTCGGATACACCAAACTCGGATTTATGGTCTGAATTCAAATCTCATCAGCTGGCTGAATTTGTAAATATACTTCCGTCCCCCACATTGGACCCTTAACTTTATTGCTAAAAGAACCACCCTTGACTCTCGCAACTAACTTTTTTGAACCTATCCATAAATACATGTATATAGCTATAAACTTTGGGAGAAGTTTGTAGATTTTGGAAGAAAAATACATCTCTTAACATTGACAAGACGAGCCTTAACAAATATTCGTAACCCTTTATATAATGCTTTAATTTGAGAATCCTTAGTGACAATTGATTCATCTTTTGTACTACTACTACTACAAGCAATGTAGCAATAGGTCGACAATACAAAAAAAAACTAAAACAAAAAAGTGATAACTACATAAAGTTTTGTAGACAGCATAAGAGTAGTGGAATTAACTAGACATTTATTTGTTGCCTTCTTTTTTGACTAAAAAGACATAAACCAAACTGAATGGGAAAATATGTATTATTGGGTTGGAGAACACGTCGAATGTGGGGCTTAAAAAGAATAGTTCGTTGATGGTGCTTTCTATGACAACATTTATTTTGGAAGGAAAATTTAAAATGGTTAACTTATAGGTTAAGGAGCGAGGGTCGTCATGTATGTAT